CTATTGATCTAGAATTAACAAAATGTATGCCTATGCCAAATATGAATTTACCTAATATAATTGAAAAGCAAAATTTAACAACCGGTTCAATAACATGGACAAATATTGAATCATTAAAAAAATTAACAAAATTACCAATTATTTGTAAAGGTATACTTTCAACAATTGATGCACAATTAGCAATTAAACATGGTGCAGATGGAATTCTTGTTAGGTCTTACTTAATCAAAATTTATTGAATATATTTTTATCTTGTTTTTTTTTTTAAATTTTTAGTAATCATGGTGGACGACAAGTTGATACAGCACCTCCAGCTATTGAATGTTTACAAGATATTATTAATGTTGTTAATGGACGTGCACAAGGTAAACTTTTATTCATAAATATACATATTTATATAAAGCAATATATAGATAAATACATGCTTATATATATATACTTTCAGACGTTGTTATGACTGTTAATAATTGAAATTTATTACTTAGAATTAAATATTGTCAATAATGTTTTATTCATCTTAAATATTGAATCTAATCATCCGATTGAATTATCAAGTTTAATTATTTGTTTGGCGTTGAAAATATTTGATGGATTTTGCAGATATTTTCTCACAATATTAAATTTTAAGAAAAATAGAGTTTTGTTTTTTTATACATTGAGATCATCGGACTATATCGAAATTTGATTAGTCAGCAATCGACCAATTAGATGGGTTCTTGTTGAAGATTTTCGGGAATGATATTGCTGTGTTGAAAAGTTATAAGACTTCTTGAAATCTCCAATTTCAACCCATTGATCAGGCATCATTTGAAAAAGTAGTTAGACAGGAGTAATATACGATGTCGAGTCGAATAATGATATTTGTTTTTAGGTTCAAATAGATTTGACACTGTTATCTCAATATTTTCGAAATGTTGACTCCTTCGTAAGATGAAGTTTGGTTGAAGAATTTCAGGAATATTGAGATATCAGCGTCAGATCATTTCAAACCTAAAATTAAATATTACCATTGGACTCAGTCTGGCAAATTATCCCTGCCTAGATACTTTTCCGAGTGGTCTCCGATCAATTGGCTGAAATCAGGAATTCCAGAAAAAGTCTTATAACTCTTGAACAAAACAATATCGTTGTCGAAAAACTCCACCAAGAACTCACCTGATTGAGCAAGCGCTGACTAATCAAATTTCGATATAGTTCGATGACTCCGAATTTTCTTTCTTAAATGGTGAAAACCGCAGGTCTTTATGATATTCCTATTAAAATTAATTCAAAAAATAATGGAGCACATTATTTTATGAAATGGATAGTAGATCCATTCTATTTAAGTATAAAACTAACAAAAAAAGCAGACAGATCTACATTGAATAAAAACTGAAGATATCCAATCCATTTTGAGAGTTCGACGTATCGATTTGACTGCATAGTTTTTATGTACAGGATAGATATTAACTTTCTATTTTTAGGAGATAAGTTCACAGGAAACAAATAAAAAGCACGTATTCGGATGATTACAGCATTAGTAACAAGAAATGTATTCGACGAGATTGAGAAATGCTACAACAAACAAACCGATTGTCTTAATTGTTAGAAAAAGAAAATAACCTAATATATTTAAATAGATGGATGTCTTTCATATCGTAGATTTTAAAATATAAAGATAAAATTGAATGCTATTCAATTATCTATATTCTTCAAATATATCCTATTTGATTTTATAGTATTTGTTGATACGGGTATTCGAACAGGAACTGATGTATTAAAAGCACTAGCATTAGGTGCACAAGCTGTTTTTATTGGTCGACCAGTTTTATATGGATTAGCTTGTGGTGGACACGATGGAGTTAAAACAGTATTAAATATATTAAAGCGTGAATTAATTTACGATATGGCTTCTTGTGGAATAACATCAATCGATCAAATTAATAAAGATGTTCTTTATAAACATACATAAAAATTTTATGTGAACTATAAGAATATGAACTCGACAATGTTTATCTGTCATTATGTTTCATCTTTGCTGGACAATTTTCTTGAGACGACTTTAATTATGTATTGTTTGATTTTAAATTCGAAGTAGTTCAATGTATTCATCCGACGTACAAATTATAGAAATAAAGATTTACGATTGGAAGATTTCAAGTTGAACAAAGGATATGGCTGTGGGTAGATGTTGGTGTAGAGAAGTCCTACATCCACATCCCAAAGAGAACATGAAAAAAAAGAACGTTACTTGTGAATACAGAAATCAAGAGTGGACGGACGAAAAATGAAAGAAAAATTCTCGATTAGAATGAATGTTCATATGAAACTAACTAATGAGAGAACCTTTCATGTGTTCCCTCCAATTTTAATGAATTTTTGCTTACAGACACCGTTCAGTACTCTAGTAAAAATCCTTAAAGGATTCGGGTTTTTATCACTTCCTTCAAAAGTTATGAACATTTTAATTTCACCTCTATAGTGCATAACGTACAGTGTCGACCATAAATATGACTACGATAAAAAAACGAAATAGCTTCGTAGACGTTAAATCCAATTACTATAAAGCACAAGGTTTTCTTATCTATAGATCACTCCATAATAGTTGATTTTGCCGTTCCGTTCTTGACAATCGTTTCAATCGAGGTAACACCAGAAAATTCATTACGTTCTAGTCTATGTATTTTGCGCGATAGTAGCGATATTGGGAACAACGAACACACAACACAGCAGAATCATGAGTAGAATGAATCCATTGTGATTCACATTTTAATCTCGTAAGGATTATTAAAATCTAATCGACCTCGTTAAACTGCTTCGCTAATGTTTTCGAAATCTTCGAGGTTTTTCACATCGTTTTGTGTTCTTGTTCGACTTCATTTCATATACATTCTCTAGGTGAAAGAAAAGCATCGTCCTCATCTTCGAGTTTTCATTGGCTTCTTTTCCTTTCAATGACGTACCGTTCCTCTTGTTTTGCTTGCACTTCCATTTGTTAGACTTTGATCGGATCAGTGATTCTTTTTTGTTCCTTTAATTTATTCTTCAGAAGAAAGTAGTCTATTCCTTTCGTTTATCATGGAGCTCGATACTCATATACAAACATTATCGTATGACTTTGCTACTATTCATATTGAGCATGAAGATAAACGAAAGAATCAGATCTCTACAAGACGAGTGATGTTTTTCTCGTCTTGATTAGGTGGTTACATTGTAGTGCTTGATTAAAAATGAAATTTTATTTAAATTTCTGAATCAAACTTAATTTTAACGCCAATATATTTCGGCATGACAGTCAATCCTTGTACATGTCCCCCAGCATTAACTTCAGGACCGCCATCAATGAATGTAACATGTTGCATTAGT